AGTGGTTTAAAATCTTAAATTTCAATTAAAATGCGAACATAATGATTTATCTAAATGTTATCAACGTAATCGCATATCTAGATCCGTGGATTTATGTAGCTTGAAATATATAGCTCCAAAAATTCTTGGATCAGAGCTCACCAAAGATGGCCAGAGAGAGCCGTTAGTATGATAACAATGACAAGAGCTTGTTCAACTTGCTATGGTACCAAACTTTAGTAACTCAAAAAATTAGCAGGTTAAAAGTGGTGGCAAACTGAACAAGCCCATAGTCGTTTATGTAACTTTTTAATTAGCTTTGAATAATGTTCCACGTGAAAGAAATCCCTCAATCATACAGTGATTTTTCCCCTGAATTGAACAGATTATCATGCTACCTTTTCTCTATAAAAGATGATACGAGTGAGTGCAAGTGCCAAATGCTGGAAATGGGAATGAGAGTTGATACATAGGGTGTACGGCACTATGATGTATGCGATGTCTTTGTTTTGGTAGGTTTGGGAGGTATGGGGAGCATTTGCTTTACATTAGAGAGTTATTTTCCTGCACAAACTTCCTAGCTGACTAGAAGGATCAGCGAGCACAGTCGGCTCTTTGCTATTCAGGGTGTTTGAGCTAGGGCAGTCCACCATTTCTCCACGGTGTCCATGGTATCCCATTGATCGATTCGCATGTTATCTAGTGCCCACACTGCTCCCATATACTCTTTGTAACCTGACAGTGAGCAAGGATGTGTATTTCCATCTCATCGCTGATCGACAAAGTGAGCAAGTCCTTTGTACATAATGCATTTCACTAGGCAATGTCTGAAATCATGTTCATCGTGCATTATTTGTGCTTGCACAGACAAGCAGGGCTAGAAGTAGGGCAAGGGTGCCAGGGCTTAGTTTCTTGTTTGTGTGTGTGAATTAAAAGTATTTGCTCCGCACCATATTCTTACACCTTCCAAATGTGGTCTAAATTTTGTTCTACCGAAAACTACTCTACTTTAAATTCCTTTATCTTACCTTTCAAAACGTAGCTCATCAGTGGTTAGGTCTTCAAAAGTTTGGTATTTCTTTTTCTCAAACAGTTCTAGCCAACTCAAGCTGATCAGTGCTAGACCATGATCTAGAGGCAGGGATGAAAACGGTCGGAAATGGTCGGAAACGGTATCATTATTTTATTATTTTTTTGAAAACGAACGAAAATGGTCGGAAAATTTCCATATTTATGAATTCATCTATTAGTGTCAACTTCAATGACATGCTGATAGAAATTAAAAAAAACTAAATTTTGAAAACGATAACCATCGGTAAAAATATTATTATTATATTAGTTTTGCGGAAACGGTATCGGTACGGTCGGGAAATTTCCATACCGTTTTCACCCTTATCTAGAGGTGCATGTGGACATGGAGGAACCAGTAGCTATATTGCCCCCCTTTGAAATGCAGGATTATCAAAACATTGGAGTAGGAAAAACATGAGAATAGAACATCATATTCATTGGATTCCTGAAGGATTTGAAAACATAGGAAAGTTTGATTGTCACACAAGAAAAATGTAGGAATTCAAGATACGGGAAGAAGAAAACAAGAGGTAAGACCTCATACTTACTTCCTCCAAAATTCCTCCACAATAGTTCATTCCATAGGAAATTCAAATAAATCGGTAGGAATCACTCCTTTGTTTCAAAGGTGATGCGGGGGAACTTGTGCAACGCACCTTTCACCATGAACTCACAAAACAACACACTTTGATAGGTTGATTCACTCGACCATGCAAAATTGGATCTCTTGCTAGCTCCCTCAATTCCCTGCAAGGAAAAGCAAGAACAATCTATGGCAGAACTCCCAATCACTATCCCTAGTTTGGCGCCTGACAGCACAAAACCTAGGAAAAGAACAAGAGCAGATACATCACAATATGGAAACCTCTCGGTAGCACCATCAGTTTGTTTTGGCTCTTGTGGTGGAACCAGAATGAATTTGTGTCCGTGGGCCTCTCCATCATGTGGGCCATGAAGTTTACTTTCCAACAAGTGCTCACACGTCCAAAATGGACTTCGGACGAAGAGAAAAAAACGTTTTAGTCCAAGCATATCCAGGATGGCCCAAACCGAATCCAAGTCAAATATTTTCTTTCTTATCTTCAAACTCCTTGTTTTCGAAGGATTCAATCCATGGGGAACTAGTGGATGGAGTCCATCCCAACCAAAGATTTGCCTTGGAAATAGATCCCCATCCAAACATGTCGTGCAAGGCCCATGTTCATCATCAGCGCCGCTACTCGCGCGTCAACCAATCTATTTGCGCAACATGTCTTCATTTTGCAATTGTCGGTGATAGAAAACTCCGAATGATGTGCCATTGGATCCTTTGGAAAGTAGACTTGACAAGCTTTACAATTATGTAAGCTACATCTCCCTAGACCCACGTGTTGTTTATGCATGCCAATGGTTCAAATATCTCATGTCTGAAAGTAATCAAGTGACAAATATTTTGTAACATCAAATTCTCATATATTTCATGCTTAGAATTTGAGAAAAATGATATCACCTTTTGTTCTAATCCACATGCAAAGGACAATGTGTGCAATTGGTTGGCAGATCCACATCATCTCTTCAAGAAAAGTCGTTCTCGGCTTTTGGTAATCACAAAATGTGCTAAACAAAGAGAACAATGTGTACGCATGATATGTGTATATGCCATTAGTTTAAAGGTTCCCTTTTTTACCCATAGTACAATAAGCATAGCAGCCATAGGATACACCATACCTGGTTTGTGCAAATAAACTTATTTGTATCAACATTTGCACAAATAAGTTTCCAATTGTTTACACCATACCTGCTCATATCGAAAGGGCTTCATAGGGTACAAATCCTTTGGAATTCCTATATTTTTCATTTGTTTTAATGGGGGCCAAGATTTAACCGAATGGCGGCATGTTCAGGTCATTGAATTCCCTCAGGGGTGGAATGGTGATCAAAGTACCAACTTGACAGGGCCGTCTCCAGGAATTGGGGGCCCTGGAACGAAATATAATTTGAGATCCTAAATTTACTTTTGATTGAGTTGATCATTTAAATTAGTAAATTATATTCATGGTAATTTGATTTAAAAGAAGAGTACTGAAACATTCAATTGACCATGCATGGATACATGCATGCAATTCAACAATTCAGTATTTGACTTAATTACCAGTTGTCCAGTCTTACTCTAATATGGTTGACGAGGTAGTCGGCCAGCTGCTCAAGGTGTCATTGTTGATCAAGGATTCAAAAGCTGGTTTCGCATGCATGCACATGAACACACATAGGACGTCAGTTGTATATGCTAAGGCTGGCTGGTTGTGCTGGTCACTCTGATTTGGGGGCCCCAAATTTTTGTGGGGCCCTGCGCTGACGCTCCGTTGGCATGCCCTCGTTGACGGGCATGCAAGATCACTTCAAGTAACAAGAGAACTCCTGGTGCCTCCTATCCCAAGCATAGCCTCAAATTCTCAGAGTCTCTGAGAGTTTATTCAGCTTTTTATTTAGAATTTTGCCACGATAAACCCCAGATGGATGGGGCCCTTGATGAACTGTTCATACCTCAGTTTGTTACAATTATTCTGAAGTTCAGATCCCTTCTCTGTTTATTCATGGATCAAGGAGAGATTCGAACATCACATATGACTATGAGAGTGTATTGTTTGACCCCTCTCAGTTACTCGTATATAGAACCTGAAGAATTGTCCAGCTGCTTTTCATAGACGTGCATCTCTCCATTTAGTGGAAGCATTAGGAACCTTCACAGCCATCCAATCAAATGTTGAGATGTAATTAAGAGAAATCTGCGAACATGTCTAAAGACAAAAATAGGCAGGAAAGTTCTCTTTGAGCCACACAAAAACAGCACTCATCACACCAAGTCAGGCGTAACCAAGAATGTCAAGGTATAGTAACCAAATTGTATCATCGAAACACCAGAACTAAGCCAAAACCCCAAACTTTTTGCGGAATAAAAAGTTACCCTCAAATTCGACGGATCACGGCCTGACCGAAGGTGTTGCGCCGGTCTGACCGCCTGGAAGCCGTCGGTCTGAAAGAGGTTGTATCTCCGGTCTGACCACCTGATCAGCTGCCGTCGCCTGAAACCGCCGTCGGTCTAACCGCCTTCACTCCACCGGTCTGACTGCCGCGATGCCGCCGGTGACTCGCCGGTTAGACCGCCGAACCCGAGAAAACACAAATCGAAGAACTCTTAAAGTAGATGACAACTTTATTACTTCTCTCTGTGTTTACAAAGTGCAACAATAACACTCCTCACGAAAATCTCGACTAAACTCGAAACCCTAACTAAACTCACAGCTCAATGCTCTCAAAAGTGATACCGAGAAGCCTCACGCTCCCTCTCTATTTATACATGAGGTAGGCAGCCTAAAGCCACGAACCAAAATCATACTAGAAGTCCTAATCCACCTAGGAAACCTTCTCATACAAGAAACAAACTTTACAAACTCCAATCATACCAAATTTGGACTCCTTCCAAATTTGACTTCGCATCCCATACGCACACAATACCTCCATCGTATGCCATATGGAATCTTCACCAACCATGTGCATTGAACTTTAGCCTAAGTATCCCGCATGATATCTGACCATCATGGACATCGTCTTATCACCAAGCTGACTCCCGATCCATCACCGGCAATACTCTCCCGAGGCATCAAGTCACCTACACATGAATCAAACAAAGAAACCATATTCCGAGACCAAGCTATCTCCAACTTGACTCATTAGTAGCAAACAACAGTATTACATACGCATAGTATCCATCTAGAAGCCATAAATATGAAATCCAAATAAACAACTCGAAACCGAAACCGACACAAAGTCGGCTGGTCAGACCGCGCAATACAAGCCAGTCTGACCGGCAGCACATGCCCGGTCTGACCAGACCACATATTCAGCAGTTCCTGTATATCACATGTAAATCCTATCATCTCCAAAACCACTTCGCCAATAATCTTCAAATATTAAAACCAATAATCACAGATGCCAATTGTTCATGATAGAATAATAATAAAAAACACTTTGATTTTGCACAAATCCCTTTATCTGCTAGACCAAATTAAACTGAATTCCAACAATTATTCACATGTGAACTTTACCACAATGATCTACTTCGTGCATTCGTCACTTCCGCAGACACAAGGAGCTTCACCGCAGCACCATGAGTTCTTCGAGTTGTACGGTGGAACAGTAGTGGTCTTTGTGAATTCATCACATGGCTGCCACTGTCCCAACCCCTTGGACCATAAACCACTCTACATGGAGCATCGACATCGGTTATCAGTCAATCTGCTTTTATAAACAAGAGGATTTGCATGGCTGCACCGCAGAGAGAATACTAGCTCCAACATTCCCTTTCTGAATGAGAACTGTTCATAATTCTGATGAACCGCTATGCTCAAGCATTTGTCCTCTACCTCTTGCTCGCAGATCCTGTACGCAGGATGCAATATAACAGTTATTTGCGCAATTTTAGTTTAAGCATGTAGAACGGTGAACCAACTATCGACAAGCTAGGTAAAAGTAATTAATAGTGACTATGTAGGAACTTACTGAACATGATTCTTGTGGCATGGCAACTCCTGATGCATCCTATTCTGACCAAAGCAACAAGAAATGTCCATCTATCATCTCTTAGCTTGAGCATCGCTGCAGCTCCTTCATCGACAGTCTACTCTTCCATGTATATATAGAGCTGTAGGTACCATTGACCATAGCAATGTTACATTTCTGTTTCAATGCAGCACCTACCACTAACATACGTTATGGGAGGTGTTTTACACTGGAACTAATTTAAAACGTTTCCTTTTTCTAATTCAATGGATCATATCCATTTATACTATTACTACCACGCATCTACTACGTGTAGTAGAATTGTTAGAGTTTGTAAGTTTTTCAAATGGTAGTATAACTCATAAATCAATGGTTGACATCACTTCTACTACAATAATACTGATAGTAGAATACTACTAGTAGAGATCACCGTAAATGTACTCCACGTACAATACAACACATAATAGGAGCTGGACATTACCAGACTGTGGAGCTTTGTATCAGTAGGATTGGCACCTACTGATGGATTGTGTTTTTGCCAAGCAAGTATGGAGAGTGCTCTTTACGCGCCTATGATTACACCTGCCGGGTACCCATGCTTTCGGGGCATAGATGGCCATAAGGCCCGAGGCCCGAAGGCTCGGCCCACGGCACGGCATTTTGGCCTGGCTCAAGCATGGCACGGCCCGACTTGGGTCGGGCCTGTGCCGGGCCGTGCCTGGGCCTCCCCACCGGCACGCTGGGCTGGCCCGGCACGATGGGCCGCCAGGCCCGGCACACAAAGTATAGGGACTAAAAATAGACATATAAATGTCACCGTCCAAAGAATAGGGATGTTAAATAGACTTATTTTAGCTATTTATAGATCACAGCCCAATAGGAGGGAGGAAAATTACACTTATTCTGAGGAAAAACACGATGCGCCGTCGTGCCTTCGGGCCGGCCGGGCATGGCCCGAGTCGTGTTGGGCCATGCCTGGGCCGTGAGTGCGGCACGTGGGTTGGCAGGCACGGCCGGTGCATCGGTCGGGCCGTGCTGGCCCGACAAGCCTCGGCCCAGGCACGGCCAGGCCTAGGCTGTGCCATGCCGGGCGGGCCCATATGGCCATCTATATTTCGGGGGGTGATATCCTACATTGGTGGGAAACCTGCAGGAGAAAGCTAGTAAAGGAACATCGAAGGATATTTGATGGTGTCATCATATACACATCATGGTGCATTTGGCTGCAGCGAAATGATAAAGAGTTTTCAACAACGTTTACAATGAGACAGTGGAAGATGTGGTCAACATGTTTATTAGCCTGTTCAGAACAAGGGAAGAAGTGCTTGCTCAAATGTAGCTTCCTAAAGTTTTTAGCCTAAAGTTGTCTTTTTTTTCCTTACTGTGTTGCTGCTCCTGTAAAAAGGGCTGTCAAAAATTATATTTCTACCAGTGGAGCAACAGAATTATAGGTCAGAAAAAAGATGATGGAAAAATTCATTATCTAGCGGTATACTGATAGAAAAAATATTTCCGACAGCTATTGCCTTGCACAGAAAATATAAACTGGTGTCAGATCGATCTGTGAAACTTGACGCTGGACGTGTAACTGTCAGTAAATTTTCCTGTCGATAATGGCACCATCAGAAAAAATGCTGTTCATCAGCTAGGTTCAGAGTTCAGACGAGCATCGGAGCATGCAGTTAATCATTTAAGACCAGCGAGTCAATGGTGAGGCCCTTGTGTGCATAAAGGGCTATTTCAATCAGACGGGGACGAAATTGGGCAGTAGCTAGCTCTGAACACAACCAATGAAATTTGAGTAGATTTCTGCATTCAGTTTTTAGAAATTGCCATAGTGACAATCACTGAAATCACAGCAGCATATAGATAAAGCAAAATTCCGTTCTCTGTGGCAGCAACAGACCAACAATGATTAACAATTAGAACATATATAGAAAAGTGAATTCATGATAATTGGTAACACGGAAACAACCCAAAAAACAGTGTCCAGTGGGTTTGTAAAGACAGGAAATTCCATCTGCCTGGCTAATTGTTACCATCATGTACTATTATCTCAATAGCTCATTCCTCATGGAGTCCTGGACCAACAAAGACAAGCAACTGTGCTACTCCCAATGCTTCCCATGCTGACTAGCTAGGCAGTTCACTGTGTGTAGAGTTTCCAACAGCCCTACAGATTACAAACGTGCACTCACCTGTTCCATTTTCAGAGCCTGTCTCAACTCTCTTTTATGGACCAGAAAGGATATTTGTGATGATCCTCTATGGTGTCCGGGATAGGTAAATGGGAAATAGATAAAAGAAGAACCAATTTAGGGATAATTTGTAATGTAGTTCAATGTGCACCAGCCTACTATTGAATGTTTGATTAACTTTTAAAAAATTCAGATGTAAGATGGTGAGGCCTTCCAGTTGCCTTATGGGATCAGGATTATTCAATTGAGCATTAAAAAGGTTGCGATGAAATTAGGTGAGAGAACACTGATTAATATAGGGATGTTTCGTGTCGTCAAGAATTCGTGGATGACTATATCTGACAGAAATTCAGAAGCTATGAAAATTGCTGTTACCAATAGGAACAAAAACATGCGAGCTCAGCTCTCAAAACATGCCAGATTCAAAATCCTATCCAAATTATAAAAACCTGTGAAATACGACTATAATTGATCAAGATGCTGCAATCGGTTAAGAACACTGGCATTCCATTTGCAACCATGTTTAAGCCAATGCAACTATTGAATCAAGATCTCCAATTCAAAATCGAGGTAACATCCTGCACAACATTGTCAATCAACTACCAGTTCTACCACTGTTCCTCATAGGCAAAATGTTGGTCATTGCAAGAACCTAAATCAGCTACCTAGTAAGACATAATTTGCCACATGCTCACATGAGATCACATACTCAACATCCGTACTCAATTGACCCAGCCAATTCATCACTTCAAATTTGAGGTCTTCAATTTAGCAACCATGCATTTTGGTAGAATCAAAGCTTGACCAAACTAGCACAAGAGTTCCCGATGCCTCCTAGGCCTACCACAGACAAAACCACAGGAGCTAGCAAACTCCATGGGCTAATTGTTTTTTTAACTTTCATTGCTTGCAGGTTGCAGCAGTTGTGTGATTCTTCACCCTGCATGCCCTTTTATGGACCAAAACAGATCATCACGCATATCACACAAGGATGAATAATGTACTATTTGATTCCGTGCAGTTATTCAGTTGATCACCTTTTCTGTCACATGTGCCAGCAAAAATATATAGTTCACCCCCATGTTGAATAATATATAGTTCATCATCGCTTCGCTTCCATTGAACTTCTCCATCGTGTGCCATCGATGCCATGGATCTGAGATCGATCGCGCCAACAGCTAGCGTTGAACTGAAAGGACCAGCCATCACAATAATGCCTCTGCTACTCGTGCAGCGTCGCTGCGTACGTAGGCGAAAGAAAAATCTGTTGTTTTTGGTTAGAAGGCTTTGTAAACTCTGGCTTTCAGAAACAGAGTACAGAATGTTATGTGCGCAGTTAAGTAAAATCCAGAAAATCACTGATGCAGCAATTCGTTGAGAAATTTCTCAGTAGTTGCCTCATACGAGTTAAACACTGCAATTCTTGAATAAACTGTCTGTTTTACACATCGAGCTCATGCGCTTTCAGTTTATGACACACAACTACACAAGTCAACTACCAGTTCTCTGCATAATCCAGTACATTTTTGCAGTGTTCTTGTCGAGAAGATGACCTCTGACAGCAGGCCAGCGCCACTTAGCATTCTGGGCTTATATTCCAGCCATAGCTAGTATTTGGTTCAGTGTATATACTCCAATCATGGAGCTATTGTCATTGCAAACACTTGAAAGTAAGTCTCCATTTGATCAAAGCTATGACTAAATGAATTATCATGATTGAGACAGGGCAAGTAGAACATAGATAGATCTAGAGATCAAATCTAGCTAGTAGCAACGCTGAACATATCTACTAGATTAGCCAAACAAATGGAGTGGTCATCACACCTCGACAAATCATGTCAAGGGAATAGTTTTGCATAAAATCGCCAATATTCAGACATAATTAACATATTCATCAGGCATAACATCCACCTTCATCTACTCAAGAAGGCCTGCATCCTTAACCCCACGATTATCCATCATAGTTGGAAAAGTCTCTTGTGCATGTGTATCCTGCTGAAGAACTACAAGAGAGAGCTGCTGTTCTTCTCTGTCCCTCTATGCTTGTAATGACTTGATCCACTACCTCAACCTCTAGTCGTGAGTGGAGAGCTCCCGGTGCCTCCTAGGCCTACTTCCATGTGAACCAGCACTGTTTGATTCCATGCACTTATACTTACTGTATGAAAGCTTCATGATGCATGTACTAATTAATTAATTAATGCTGTGATCGATGTTTAGTTTTTTTCCTTTCACGTTGCATCTTGCATGTTTTCGGCGAAAATACAATTCACTATGCTGAACTCACCGCACATGTGTATTGACAATTGCAAGGGATGGCCGTCGTCATTGTAAACGCTTCCCTAAAACTGCTCTTCCATCTCTTTCTGTGTCTTTCTTTTTAAGATGTTGGAACAATTGTAGATCGCAACTCGTTTAATTTCTTTTTCATCTCTTTAGGCATATAATTCCTTTTAAAAGAATAGATAATAATAGGTTTGGCACTTTCAAAAGCTCCTTAGTGAGACGGCTAACCTAGACAGTTAACGTTAGCACTCCCTGGTGTAGTCTTGGATGTGTGGGTCTCGGTGGTGGGAGGGCGGGGGTCCTCCTACTTTGTAAATATTTTGTTCTTTGTTTTTTCTTCCCCTTGAAATGAAACGCAGTTCTCCTGCATTTTTTAGAAAAAAAAAAGAATAGGTAAATGGGTGACTGTGTGAAAGCTTTACAAAGTCGAAAGGCACATTATTTTTTTTGTGCTAAAGTTTGCCGGCCTAAGAAGAAAAAGGTAGATCATTACAAAATGCTCCACACACTAAATGGTGGGCAATGCCAGATTTCTTCCACCAACTTGCAAATTCTTTGGCTATGCCATAAACTTAATTAATGTAATTTGTCCATGGAAAGATTTCAGACCAAACTTCTGCCGCATATATACATGCATCGAAGCTGAAGGTCCATAGCTACATGCATGTTTGGCTGACTACCAAGCTTGTGAAACCTTCTTATGTGGTCATCTTCCTCAACTTGATTCGTTGGTTGGTGTCAACATAGAGGACAAAAAAATTAGAAGTTATCCAGGAGAGAGCTAGCCTATATCTGCATCAGCGTAGCATTATTTGTTTCCAGCCTATCTACAAGTTGGAAGGAGAACATGATACTGAAAGTTCATGTAACATGACAATTCTCGATGCCT